AACAACAATAATAATAATAATAATAATTTGCGTTCTGTTATGACAAATGCTCATTTAGATAGCCTCATGATGGTTGGAATACATCGTGATAGGTGAAGCAACCTCGACCATGAAAACGTGGTTGACAGATTTCCATGCAAAATTTCCGAAATATAGAATTTCACTTTCAAGATTGAGGATTTGAAAATAAATTAGATGGTTATATTGCATACTCTTTGTTTCTTGTTTTATTCAAAATGTTTTGGTTTGGAAGCTGATTTCAACATTAGAAAGCATACCCTACATGAAGTCATATTATAGTAACTCGATGCCTATCAAATAAGTAATAAAAACTCGCCATAATTCATCAAATATCCGTGGCTTCCAGGGGGGTTCACCCCCTGGACCCCCACCGGGGCCCTAGGCGTCCCCCTGGCCCCCAGCCAAGTGAGACTCAGACAGGTTTAGCCCCTCCGTCGGGCAAGTCCTGCCGCCACCACTGGCATTAGTCATAGTCGTGGCGTGAGCTTTCAGGCCCTATTTCAAGTTACTTTTGTGAAATTTCATACTTTTTCTAATAATTCACAATAGAAATTGCAGTTTCTTGTGTAAAAGTCTGCTTGAATTTAGATTGCACGAACGATAGTGTCAGTTATTTTTTATTTTTACAGTTCACTTGATGTCGGCATATTAGCAAGTGGTGGCTAAAGTTTTCTAATTTTCAAATTAAGACAATTTTTAAGTCTGAGGGTACCATTTTCCAAATATCTTGGGTTGTTCTACATTAAACAAGTCCGCACCTCGCCCCAACCAAGGTGTGGCTGAGGGTGGCTATGGAATTTCAAGCCAGCAGCTATGATAGTGTCTCCATCTTCATCATTGTCGTCGTCATTCATCACCTCATCGTCTTGTAATTATTTATTTTTTTCCTATTGTCTAAATGAAATGCTGTTGAGTTCTTTTATTATTATTATTATTATGATTTATGCCACAATGTATGGTTAATTTAAAAAATAACAGGTCTTTAATGGAGTTTGTAGCCTAGTTGTAGATCTCTAGAGCTTAAAACTTAAGAACACACTTTGATACAGTACATCTAAAAAGAAAGTCAAAAATAACCACCGAGCACCGAGAGACTGAAAATGAACACGGAATCTGCAGAAGAGCAACGACAAGAATGGTATGTAAACTTCAAATCAAACAGCGTTGAAAGTGGAAGAATTTAAAAAAATAAAATAAAAAATACTGAAAATATTCTAATAAGCCTAAGTTTCCAGGCATGTATACGGTATCCAGTAGGTGGGGTATTGCGAAGAGTGTGAATAACGCACGCAACCAAATTTCATAAGGTTCACATTTCCAAGAATGTGCTGAATATAAATTTGTGATTTTCTGTCATTTAAAAATAAAGCTTAAATTTCCACATTTTAACCAGATTTAACATAATCTCTTAGTCTGTCGTGATTCGGAAAAACGCAATATGCCTATCCATTTTTGAGATTTTGGCTAAGGGGCACCCTGTGGATGTAATCTATCATGGAACGTGATCATATACTCCAAACAATTTTTCGAAATATAAAATTATAATGAGAGTTACGCATTATATCCGTTGACCCACCAAAGCTATCCAATAAGCATTGAAATGTTGGCAATCAAAAGACATTTATGCATATTGGCTTACTTTCCCAAATGGTGGCGGTTCAATAAAATTGTATTATTATTTTTTTCCTGTAAGAAAGTTACAACTTATACGTTGTGGTCATAAGATGAATTTTAGAATCACATTATTAACAAGATTATTTGGTTAGTCTTTCCACGTCGGCGCGTGCACTGAAAAAGTTTCTTTTTTTCTTTTTTTTCTTGAGATTGGATC